CCAAGCAGACGAGGGGAGAGGCAGGGGGGGGTCAGTCCTGCCGGGCTGGGTCCCACTGGTCTCCACCACAAAGGCCAAAATCGTCGCTGGACGTGGTGGGAATAAAAAAACCCCTCCAGACAGGTCGTTTCTGGCCAGGCCCGTTGATCAGCCACCCCCTTCCCAGCAGGGAGGGACGTGGTGACGGGGACGGGCCCTTCCTGGGGCGTCAGGGGAACAGCTGCAGCTCGAATTTGGGGGCCCACTCCAGGGCGCTCTTCACCACGGCCAGGGCAGCTGCCCCCAGTGCCACCGTCAGCCCCATCACCGCCAGCTTGACCAGGCGGTTGGGCCTGGGCTTTGTGAGGGTGGATTTTGTCCTCTCCTCCCCGCGGGGCCGCTCCCTGAAGCGCTGCCTCAACACAGTGTCTGGTCTCTGCTGCACCGACGCCAGCTCAAAGTCCTTAAAAGTGGAAGCTGCAGTTCTGCAAGAGAAGAAGGGGGTCAAGGAGTGTCCCCAGGGCTGGGACCAGGCTCCTGCCAGGGAGGGGATGTCCAAGAGGGAGCGAGACCCGGCGGGGGGGTGTGGAGGAGGCGTGGGGGGGCCCGCACTCCCCCCCCTGCTGCCTGCTGCGGAGCGTCCTCCTTGGCCAGCTCGGAGGGTGGGAACTGGACGAAAAGGTCCCCGGCCCTGCTGATCAGGGTCTCGTAGGGAAGGTCCTGTGGGATCTGGGACAGGAGGTGGTGCACAGAGGCCATGTCGCACTCGCAGTCCAGGACTTCCTGCTCCCGGTACAGCACGATCTGCAGAGAGGAGGCAGAGCCCCGAGGGAGGGCAGTGAGGGGAGGACAGCCCCTGTCACCCCCTGCAGAGCCACGAGGGAAACACACTCTGCTCCCAGCTCAAGGACGTGCCCTTCCTCTAGGGAGGACACAGCAGTGGAGCACTCCGTGTCTGGGAGAAGGAACACCAAACGCCTCCCAAGACTCTGAGGCCATGGGAAGCCCCTTCCCGGGTAGTTCCATCTGTCTCCTGAGCACAGAGGCACGGGCAGAACCTCCACAGGGCCTGACTCTGTGGCTCACCCTCAAACAGAGATGGGTCTGGACCTCCCCCAGGACAGGGAGATCACACCTTGAGTACTCGGGTCAGTTTTGGGCCCCTCACTCCA